TGCCATTCAGATCAGTCTAGCTGTTTCGATTGTCGGCGTTGGTCTTGCATTCGTAGATTGCACTCCCTTCAGTTCTTTTTTGCTCATGTACACGAATGAACTTTTGGTGCCATTCAATGTGCCGCCCACCCCAGTCGGACCACAGAGTGTCAGATGAGTAGAAGACGCATCTGGAGCGTTTTTTTTTGTATACTTGCATGCCTGTTTATGCCTGTATGGATTTCGGATGTGAATGTCATGCCTATGTGTGTACATGTTAATGTTGTTCGTACACGTGTGTACATGCATGTTTGGATCCTCATGAGTGGACGGCTGAGTACATGTTTACTTGCACTCGCAGGCTTCGACAAGTGCAGTCTTGTTCGTCTGTGCAAGTCGACCATGCACCATGTATGTGTGTGTGCAAAGTAAGTAAGCGTGTAACGCTATACATGTAGAAAGGCATGCGGACATTCACAAAGTACAGGTCGATAACCAATGCCGGATGATGCAGCTGCGACCACTTGCCTTTTCAATTAACCCCTGGATACCCACAACACTTGGCCAGCAGGGACCCCAAACCCAAAACACTAAAAGGCAAGTGGGGAACATAAGCTTCAACATAAAACCCTAAGGCCCGAAGCCCGAAGGCATAAACCCTAAACCCCTACAGCCCTAAACCCAACACCCTAAACCCCAAACCCTAAACCCTTAAAACCAAAACCATGAACCCCTAAACCCCAAACCCGAAACCCTACACCCCTAAACCCCAAACCCTAGACCCCTACAGCCCTAAGCCCAAAACCCCTAAACCCCTAAACCCCAAACCCTAGACCCCTACAGCCCTAAACCCAAAACCCTACACCCCTAAACCCCTAAACCCTAGACCCCTACATCCCTAAACCCCTACGTTTGAAACGCAAAGCTCCAGGCGGGAGCAGAAGCCGCCGCCGGGCCACCCTGGAATGCCCTCAGCCCGGAGGCAGCAGCTTCTTAGGGTTTTGGGCTTAGGGTTTTGGGTTTAGGGTTTTGGGTTTTGGGTTTAGGGTTTTGGGTTTAGGGTGTTGGGTTTAGGGTTTAGGGTTTGGGGTTTAGGGTTTAGGGTTTTAGTGGGTACGACTTTCAAACTGGGGGATTTAGGTTGCCAGGGTTGGGGACTGAGTTCGGGTTACCAGATGGGAGCTTCCGAAAATAGGGGACCCTAGTATAGCACCCTAAATAGAAGGATCCTTATTGTAAGGACCCCAAAATAAGGTACCCCCAATTTTCGGAAACTCCCAGGTCCACCCTAAACCTTCTAAGGTTTCAAGGTTTGCATGGCGGGCTTGTGATCTGGGCGAGCCTGGGGCCGTTCCTAAGAAATTGTCAGGGCTTGGGCTACTTCCGGGTTCAAGCGGGCGGCGCTGATTGTGCGGTAGAGAGGTCAGAGCAACTAGAAATTATAGTCGTTAGCATTGCATGGCTAAAACATCATATACAAGTAAGGGTCATGGAGATATGTATGTCGGCTTCTGCGTACACTGTCAGTCCGAATCCTGTATGTTTTTGTTTTCGATCTGAAGATGAAAACCTTCCTCGCCAGGTAGTTCTTCAAACTCGGATCCCGTTTTGGGGTTTGCAAAAAGTCCGTTGCTCTTTCAGTTTACTGGGTTCTGCTTTGGGAGAATTTTTAATTTCCTTTATTCCCTTATAGCGGGAACCTATTCATAAATAATTTTCAAAGGGTTTAAAGCACAACCCAGTTTAACTTAACTACGTCTACTTGGGTAGTTGTCAAAATTATGGTCCCTCTTTGGGTACCCTAAATATTAGCTGCAGCACTATATTAAGGACCCAAAAAGGGACCATGATTTTGACAACCACCCACTTTAAAGACATGGTCCTGTGCAGGACATCAAAGGCAGCTTCGACACCTCGCCGAAGAACAATCTCATGGCCCGGGGGCTTAGGATTAGTTTCGGATTTAGGGTTAAGGGTCTTAGAGTTTAGGATTAGGGGTTAGTTTCGGATTTAGGGTTTAGGGTCTTAGAGTGTAGGATTCGGGGTTAGTTTCGGATTTCGGGTTTAGGGTCTTAGAGTTCAGGATTGGGGGTTAGTTTCGGATTTAGGGTTTAGGGTCTTAGAGTTTAGGATTCGGGGTTAGTTTCGGATTTCGGGTTTAGGGTCTTAGAGTTTAGGATTAGGGGTTTGTTTCGGATTTAGGGTTTAGGGTCTTAGAGTTTAGGATTAGGGGTTAGTTTCGGATTTAGGGTTTAGGGTTTTAGACTTAGAGTTTAGGATTAGAGGTTAGTTTCGGATTTAGGGTTTAGGGTCTTAGAGTTTAGGGGTACTCTTAGAGTTTAGGGGTAGTTCCGGGTTTAGGGTTTAGGGGTTAGTTTCGGATTTAGGGTTTGGAGTCTGCAACTCGGACACGAAACTTCAGTGTGCGCGCGTCCACACGATTCTTCTTCGGTTCTGCCAAGTCGCCGAGGCGATGGCGGCCTTGCCACCTATGATCGTCTCTACCGCAAATGCCGGGCCGCAGATCACTGCAAATGCCGGACAGCAAGGCACTGTGCCGCTACAGCTGCCTCCCATCGTGGCCGAATCTCGACATAATCATTAGTGTTGGAGGAACTAGGCTGGGTCGTGCCGGTGTTGCGTCGTCGCTCCGACGACTCTTCCTCCCCTTTGATACCTGATACCAAGGACCACACTGGGACTCTGTGGCTGGCAGTGGCTCCTTGGCTCGACCCACGTTGTGTCCTGCGTCTGTTAGCTTGAGGCACGCTGGTGTGGTCGCCAAAGTATGTCGTCGGGAATGTCGTTGCTTTCCGAGGTCCCGCCCCCTCTGCCGGCTCACGTCATTGTCGCGTCGTGTCTCGCAGAAATATTCCTGCAGTCCTCCACTTTGCGCACTCCTTCCCCGAATCCAAGGTCGCTCACGCACTTGCGGACCGCCCTCGGGGGCGGCTGACTGAGCCCGGTGGTGGCGTGCTCAGACATGCTTGGCACCATGGATGTGTGAACGAACTTTTGCGTAATGTGACAATCCTGGAAAGCGAGGCAGACGCTCCAGTGGTCCGGCTACGTCGAGAGCCTTGATCTGCTCCATCGGCAATCTCGAGCTGGCATTGCTGGAGTTTGCTGCTCAGGGAGGTGGTTGTTGCGAGCCCAACATCAGGTTATTATTATCATTGTATCATGACAAGAATGTCCAGGCACATGCGATTGCGCGAGGCTTCCTGACACATCGCACGCGATTCCGGCTTGGCAAAAGCTGTTGTGCAAGAGCACAAGAACTACTGTACTATTACTACTCGTACTAGTACTGCCACCATCACTATCTTGCAGCGGTGCTGATGAGTACCAGTGGCTTCTTGTGTTCTTCGCCAACCTTTGCTCGAGACTCTCGAAAACCTCGTTTTTCTTTCGTAGTCTCCGTAGCGCACGCGTGGGCGGGTGGCGTCGAGGCCATTCGGTTGGTACAGGTGCGCTGCACAACAGGTGGAGTCGATTCCACTTGGCCTGTCGCATCGGATCGATTCTTCTGAAGGTGATGCTTCCGCCGGTTGGCAGCGCAATGACGGAGCTGATCGCGTGGGCAGAAGAGGCGCGTTGCTCAGACATGGACTGGAGGCCTCCGTGTGACAGCCATGGGTGAGGCTCGGGGCGAGCGCCGGCTGGAGATGTTGCGATTCCTCTACGCTCAGCCGAGGTGCATCCACTACGACATGATGCTGAATGAGGCCGAAGTCAACCGGCATATGAACGACTGCAAAATCAATGTCTTGCAGGGCGATGTGCTGACCGCGGACATCCAGGCGGCGCCACGGCTGGTGATTGAGCAGGTGCCCGCGGGGCAGGGTTCGCCTTTCGGCACATCTATGGTATATCTGTGGCATATCCGTGGCATGTCTGTGGCATATTTGTGGCATCTCTGTGGCATATCTGTGCATATCTGTGGCATATCCGTGGTATATCGTCGCGTATTATCGGAAAGATGTAAGAGCCGCTGTCACTCAGATCAATCAGAGGAGACAGTGGCTACTTTTGCAAACTCTCGCACTCCGCTCAGTCATGTCTCGTGCCCTTGCCCTCCGACATATGCTCTTCGCGGTTGGGTAGGGGCCGCTGCTGATGCTGCTTTTGTGCTACTTGCGTAAGCAGCGCCAGCATGCGAAAAGAGCCTCGAGCAGGGCTTTGACGAATTGGGCAATCACAGAGTATCGCTGGCCCCGTGAAGAGGATCATGCAAAGCTCGCTGACGCCCAGGACGAGGATGCTGAGGCCGAGCACTGTGGCGGCTTGCGTGTGGATGATGTCGTCGAAAGGCAAAATTCTGCTCGTCATGGCCTGCCAGACAGGCACGGGCACGTGCAAGATGCTAGAGGCGATCTCATGAACGGTTGATGGGTAGACTGCCATCTAGGTGGCTACCGGCCGCTGGCCTCCAGCCTCACAGATAAAGTGTTGCTGGAGCCTTCTGCCGGCGACACGTGCATGATGGCCCTCTGTCTCGCTGCACAGCACTGGAGCTGTGTGAAGCGGACGGAGGCGCACGCGTAAGTGCGATGGTATGGCGACAGTTTTCGTTTCACATGAGGATGGTACAGCCATCGTCCCCTACCCGACGTTGGCAGGTTATTATTATCATTGTATCATGACAAGAATGTCCAGGCGCATGCGATTGAGCGAGGCTTCCTGACACATCGCACGCGATTCCGGCTTGGCAAAAGCTGTTGTGCAAGAGCACAAGAACTACTGTACTATTACTACTCGTACTAGTACTGCCACCATCACTATCTTGCAGCGGTGCTGATGAGTACCAGTGGCTTCTTGTGTTCGTCGCCGACCTTTGCTCGAGACTCTCGAAAACCTCGTTTTTCTTTCGTAGTCTCCGTAGCGCACGCGTGGGCGGGTGGCGTCGAGGCCATTCGGTTGGTACAGGTGCGCTGCACAACAGGTGGAGTCGATTCCACTTGGCCTGTCGCATCGGATCGATTCTTCTGAAGGTGATGCTTCCGCCGGTTGGCAGCGCAATGACGGAGCTGATCGCGTGGGCAGAAGAGGCGCGTTGCTCAGACATGGACTGGAGGCCTCCGTGTGACAGCCATGGGTGAGGCTCGGGGCGAGCGCCGGCTGGAGATGTTGCGATTCCTCTACGCTCAGCTGAAGTGCATCCACTACGACATGATGCTGAATGAGGCCGAAGTCAACCGGCGTTTGAACGACTGCAAAATCAATGTCTTGCAGGGCGATGTGCTGACCGCGGACACTTAGGCGGCTTCACCTGCTGGTGATTGAGCAGGTGCCCGCGGGGCAGGGTTCGCCTTTCGGCACATCTATGGCATATCTGTGGCATATCCGTGGCATGTCTGTGGCATATTTGTGGCATCTCTGTGGCATATCTGTGCATATCTGTGGCATATCCGTGGTATATCGTCGCGTATTATCGGAAAGATGTAAGAGCCGTTGTCACTCAGATCAATCAGAGGAGACAGTGGCTACTTTTGCAAACTCTCGCACTCCGCTCAGTCATGTCTCGTGCCCTTGCCCTCCGACATATGCTCTTCGCGGTTGGGTGGGGGCCGCTGCTGATGCTGCTTTTGTGCTACTTGCGTAAGCAGCGCCAGCGTGCGAAAAGAGCCTCGAGCAGGGCTTTGACGAATTGGGCAATCACAGAGTATCGCTGGCCCCGTGAAGAGGATCATGCAAAGCTCGCTGACGCCCAGGACGAGGTTGCTGAGGCCGAGCACTGTGGCGGTTTGCGTGTGGATGATGTCGTCGAGAGGCAAAATTCTGCTCGTCATGGCCTGCCAGACAGGCACGGGCATGTGCAAGATGCTAGAGGCGATCTCATGAACGGTTGATGGGTAGACTGCCATCTAGGTGGCTACCGGCCGCTGGCCTCCAGCCTCACAGATAAAGTGTTGCTGGAGCCTTCTGCCGGCGACACGTGCATGATGGCCCTCTGTCTCGCTGCACAGCATTGGAGCTGTGTGAAGCGGACGGAGGCGCACGGGTAAGTGCGATGGTATGGCGACAGTTTTCGTTTCACATGAGGATGGTACAGCCATCGCCCCCTACCCGACGTTGGCTGCTTTGCTGGACCACATCGAGCGTCAGGAACGGTCAGAGTGCAGCAGCCGCGAGCCTGTGCGTCATGTCATTGCAAGGACGGGCATGCCCTCAGCTTGGGGACGTACATTGGCGAGCTCGAGTTGGGTCTGGCCAGGTGGCAGCCTTAGTGCCTGGTGGACAGGTCGGAGCTTACTTTGTGAGACGAACTCAGATATCTCCGGGGGCGATCGGAGGCAGGCTCCGCAGCATCTGACCTGCACAGAATGCATATATATATATATATATATATATATACAGTTTAGCCTGTATATGTATGTTGTGATTGATGGATTTGTACATGTACACATTTACATGTTGATGTGAGTACGTACACAATACACATGTGCGTACATGTGTCTATATCTGCGTATTTGCGAGAGTATTACATGCGTACATGCAGAAGACTCAAATTGACATCAGGTTGTTTGAGCGCCGCTCCATCTGTCGGCTTCAGTTGCAATGACCTCTTCCACTCGCCGAGTCGTCCGATGTTCAAAAACAGGACAGTGTTCGAATGTTGTTTTGCTCCGGGTCGTGAACCCTCGCAGCTTGTCGATGCGGCGGACGTCTCTGCAGGTTGTTGCTTCAACATGCCGGTAGCAGCTGATCGGCTCAAACGCAATAGCTCTTTTGCGCCTTTGTTTCAGTGCAAGTTGCCCGGAACTCAGCTCCAACTGATATGCCGCCGCGCGAGTTGCCACTGCGCACAAGGCAACGTGCTGCAATATGGTTTATATCGAGCTCGCCGGGCTCCTAACAGATGCAGTATGTGGCGTCCGTTTGTTCCGTTGTTCGGAAGGTGATCTCAGAGGCGTGCACTCTGGCCACCCAAAGATGGAGGGCCGATGAGATCTTCCTCCACGCCCGGGGCTCGGCAACAGAAAGGTCCACTGAGAAACCGGTCTCAACCATGTGGCGAGACACGTGTGCTAAGGTGCAGCGTCGCTACGGCGCGCTGGCGCACGCTGCGGCCATGAAGGCCGAGCACATTGCTGCAGCACGTTGCGACGCCTGCTGCGGAGTCGGGAAGCGAGTCAGTGTCGCGTCGTAGGAGTTTTTCCAGATGCTGCACAGGGAAGACTTTCCTCGTCGCGTTGACGCCATCGAGCGTCGTCAAACAGACGAGTTAGCCCTCGGTCTTGGGCCCAGTCTTCACGACTGACACTCAGGCCAATCATCTTGTCTCCAGGCCTTCTGTGGCGCGGCGCTCGTTGCCTTGAAGATTGCCGGGTGGCTAAAGGCGGGCATTTCGTGTCGCGGACGAGCAAAGCCGCAGCCTTTCAGTTTAGAGGTAGTTCCGGGTTTAGGGTTTAGGGGTTAGTTTCGGATTTAGGGTTTAGGGTCTTAGAGTTTAGAGGTAGTTCCGGGTTTAGGGTTTATAGAGGTTAGTTTCGGATTTAGGGTTTAGCGTCTTGGAGTTTAGGGGTAGTTCCGGGTTTAGGGTTTAGGGGTTAGTTTCGGATTTAGGGTTTAGGGTCTTAGAGTTTAGGGGTAGTTCAGGGTTTAGGGTTTAGGGTCTTAGAGTTTAGGGGTAGTTCCGGGTTTAGGGTTTAGGATTAGTTTCGGATTTAGGGTTTAGGGTCTTAGAGTTTAGAGGTAGTTCCGGGTGTAGGGGTTAGTTTCGGATTTAGGGTTCAGATTCTTAGAGTTTAGAGGTAGTTCCGGGTTTAGGGTTTAGCGGTTAGTTTCGGATTTAGGGCTCGGGGTCTTAGAGTTTAGGGGTATTTCCTGGTTTAGGGTTTAGAGGTTAGTATCGGATTTAGGGTCAAAGGGTGGCAGTGTGAGATTCTGCTTGAGCTAGACAGGATTGCAAAGCAAGTTCATATTCACAAGACCGGCTGGGGTAGAATGTAGCGGCAGCTCTCTGTATAAGCACGGCCAAAATTTCGATCCTGAGGCTCTAGAGCTCGTAGATTTGAGTGAACTTTCTTTCTGGAGTTTTGGAATTTAGATGTGGCGCAGTTCTGCCCCTCTTGAGTTTCCGGTATCACTTGAGGTGCCGCGATCACAGCAGCGCATTGTGTAAAACAGGAAAATCTCAAAAGTCGACACCCTCATGCCTTCAAACCAAGCCCCAACTTGAAGCCCAAACGTGAACCTTGACCACAAACCCAAACCCTTTAGCCTAAAGCCCCGAGCCCGTAGCATAAAGCAACTCGGGTTTAGGGTTTAGTGTTTCGGGCCCCGCGCCCGGACCGCTCGCGAGCAAGCGAGATCAACCACAATGGCAATTTGCTCCAGCGCCAAAGCGCTCATGACAGGAGCAGCATAAGGCACCTGAAGATAGACCATTTCCATTGTGGGGTTCCTTATTCTGAGTGAAGTATAATGGGCCATTCCTATTCCAGTTAAGGCTCCTATATGGGAGTTTCCTTATTCTAAGGACGACCACATAAGGTACCCCTAATTTTTGAGAAACTCCCTTATTACGCTGCTGAATGGCGAGTGCTGAACTGGGACCGACTGCGCGGGAAAGGGCTCAAGAAAGATCTGCCTCTGATCGGAGGACATCAAAGGGCTCCATAAGGGTGGGATGAAGGTAGGTGGGGTAACCCCCAAAGTAAGAGTCTTCTACGGTAAGAGATCCTGAATCCGACCTAACTTCATCCCAGCCTAGGCCTCCAAAGACAAGGATCTGTGAGGGCAACGCATATCTTTGCCACTCCACATCTGGAAACTTGTGGGAGATGGTGTGGTTAAGGGCTTCGGAGTTGTAAAGGGCTGCAGGGCCGTGTAGGGTGTTGTGAAGGCTTTCAGGTTTAAGGTCTCAGGCTCGGGGTTATGTAAGGCTGAAGCTTTCGAGGTTGGCGCATGGGGTTATGGCTAGTTGTTGTCGGTTCTGTTCGGGTTGAGTTTTCAGGGCTAAAGGCTTACTCCGTAGCTTTTTCGGCAACTGTGCCTCTCTTGAATTACTTTTGGTCCAGGGGACCAGGCGCCAAAAATCCGCACCCAACGCCCCAACCACTATACTACACATACAAGGATTCAAACCATATGTGGATATAAGCCGATGTACATATGCATCTGTGCATCCATCCATCCGTCCGTCCATCCGTCCATCCCTCCATACCTCCGTCGGTCCGTCCGTCCATCCATCCAAACGCCAAACACGGAAAACCCGAACAGTAATCCCAGCCGCAGATGACGCCCTTGGCCTGCGAGCGGGGTCAAGAGGCGGACGCAGGCAGGCTTGCGTTGTCTTGGGTGCCGCCGGAGAAGGGGAGGGTGCAGGTTGAGGACAGTTCCCCCACTAGAAGTTTAGCGGTTGTTCCTCCAAAACGTTTATATTAACAAACCCTAAACCCTAAACCCTATAGTACAGTTTGTATGAACAATATGGCTGGACTCCGGGCTTCGGGTGGTCGGAGCTTCGAGCTCGTGGAGCCTTCTTTCAGTGGAGGGGTTTTAGGGTCTGTCTTAACCCTGAATAACCTACCTTTTTAGGGTTCCTTATTATGATTTCCTTATATAAATCCTTAAAAGGGTAGGTTATTCAGGTTTAAGGTGGGGTTTGCGGTATAGGCTTTTCGCTGGGGTAGGGTCTACGGCTTGAACGGATAGCTGTAATTTGCAAGTAGGGCTCCATGCAACTGTTGAGTTTCACTGACCTTCGCTTTGCCTGAACCCTCCCCCTGCACCAGCACGATTTATCCTTCGTAGAACTCCGAATTACTTCCGAGCCTCCAGATCCAACTAAGACCCTAGATCCTCAAACGTACACCTTGATCCCTACAGTGTGTAAGCCTTAAACATACCGAAACTGGAACGCCCTGGAGCCCCCATATTGACAGTATGTTCGTGTGTTTTCTCAAGATCGCAAAACCTTGTGTGTGTGTGTTTGGAAAAACAGGGGCCCCACAGCGTTCCTTTCTGTTTACCCTGATCCCTGTATAGTCCCTAAGCCCAAATCTCTAAACGTTGATGATCAAATCGACAGCTCCTTGCTAGCAAAGAAAGACAAAACGCAAACGGACAGGGATATACTCTTAGTATAGCTTTTATATACCCATTATATAGCCCATTATAGGGTAGGGGTCCCCATTAAGGGGTCCCTGACGAGGTGAGATCAAAAGAGAAGCCGAGGCCTGGATTTAGAGGGTTTCTGCGCGAGGGTTTTATGGTGCTTCGGAGGGCTGCATACCTTAAGGACGAAATGAAGC